AGAATTTTTTTTAAAATTTAAATTATATTTTATAATAAATTTTACTAATATTATCAGTTTTATTATTTTCTTACCAATATTTAAATATAGATTTTATTTAACCAAAAATTAAATTAAGATAAAATATTTTTTAACTTAAAATTTTAATTACAAATATATATATATATATATATATTTAAAATTATAATCAAAACCATGCATTGGTAAAATTTTCAGTGTGGAAATTTTACTATTTTTAGCAATTTATGGTCGTTTAAAAAATTCAAAATATAAGATATAAGAAAAAAAAATCAAATTTTATTATATATTCAATGTGATTGTTTAATTTATTTTAATAATGTAAAATTAAACAAAAAAGAGATAGGACACAAAAATATGTATTATTATCCATAATCATTAACTGCGTATATATTTTAATCATATTAGGTAATCCCGTAACTTTTATTTAAGGAAAGAAAATATATTGTTTTGTACACTACTAATTATTTCAATAGTTAGTTTAATAAAAAATATAATATATATATTTATATGGACCAACTAATTTTTCTAAGGATTCTAAGAATTATTTTGGTGATTACATATGGTTATAAAAACATGTTATAATGTCTATGATTAATGTATAGGGGATATAAATATATATCTTCCGATCAGAACTCTGTAGTTTTCTTATCTCCTTCATACATAGCAAGTCTTTGATGTTATGGATTTCGTGGAGACTGAATCTTCTTTCAAACCAATAACCACAAAAATACTTGAATTTAACATAAAACTAGGATAAGACCTGCACAATGCGCATGATGAATATATGTAACTAAAATATAAAATTTTAGTATTGACAAATTTAAAATTTACATATATTTGTTTTTATATGTATTTGGAATTTTAGAATTTTAGAATTTTTATATAACTATCTATACGTAGGATCAGAAACAATTGTAATTAGAATTGTAGATCAAATCTTAGAATTTAATGGGCCCGATTTCATATATCTTTTCACTTTTCAGTGTTCGAGTGAAGGAAAATAAATGGAATGTCACAGGGCTTGATTGATAGAGTATTAGTAAACTCCCTAATGTTTTCTTAAGAAGCAGTTGGTAGAATATTTGCATTTAGAATATATAAAGTTTCAAAAGTAATTTAATATAATTTATTTATTTGTTTAATAATATCAGAAAATTATATTTAAAAAAATATTTTTAAATAAAGAAATAATTTTATAAAAATTAGTTTAAATTTTAAATTATTAAAAAAAAATTATTTTAAAAACAATATTTTAATTTTTCAAATAAAAATTTAAAATTTAAAATTAATTATTGTCATGATTGAACATAACCACAATGATTTAAAAATTAAGAAATTAAAAATTAACTCAGTTTTATATCATGATAAAATTTAAAGACTAATTATGCTTATGAGAAATTTACGTTCTCGTATCAATCCTATTTATCTTCAACATTTTATCTTTTTGTGTTTTTAGTTTTTGGTTATCACTCGATATAAATATTGATTTTGAAGTTTATTCTCATTTTGTTTCTTTGTTTTGGCCTGAGATTTTGGAAAATGCTTAAGATTAAAGAATATTATATTTTTTTATGCACAATAAGTATATTATATTTTTTTCAAAATATTAGGAAATAATAAAATAATAATTAAAGAAATATATATATATATATTAAATAACTAAGAAATCAGTTACTATTATGTAATAAATTGGCGTAATGCATATAAATCTAACGATCACTCTTGTTTATTCGTAATTAGGATAAATAAATAAGCACAAACAATTTTATATATCGTATATGATATATATATATATATATAATTAAATTTAAATGATATTATCATAGATATATAGCACACTTTTAATATGGATATTTATTAAATGAAGTTTCTACTCATATGATTTTATGATTATTTGCATATTTGTGTAACAAAACTTTACACAAAGGAATTCTTTTTTAATGTGAGATGTTTAATATATATATAATTAAATTTAAATGATATTAACATAGATATATAGCACACTTTTAATATGGATATTTATTAAATGAAGTTTCTACTCATATGATTTTATGATTATTTGCATATTTGTGTAACAAAACTTTACACAAAGGAATTCTTTTTTAATGTGAGATGTTTAATATATATATAATTAAATTTAAATGATATTAACATAAATATATAGCACACTTTTAATATGGATATTTATTAAATGAAGTTTCTACTCATATGATTTTATGATTATTTGCATATTTGTGTAACAAAACTTTACACAAAGGAATTCTTTTTTAATGTAAGATGTTTAATATTTTCAATAATTTATAATCATTTAAAAAAACAATGATTTCAAAATTAAAATATTTACTTTTCAATATATGTTCAATGAAAATATCAAAATATAAGTATGTATTTTCATACGATGTATAGTTTAATTTAAACGATATATATATATATATATATAACATAAAACCTATTAAAATCAAATTATTTCTTCATATGGTCGTATAATCATTGTATTTTAATATAGAAAAAATTTAAACCTTGATCAGAAAAGCTTATGTGAGATTTTTAACAGTTTTAGTAATATATACTCGTTTTGAAAAATTCGAAATGCAACATACACAAAAAAATCTAGATTTTTATTATATGATTAATATAATGTGTAATTGATTTTTAATAATAAAAAGTAAATAAAATGATAAAAAGTTATACATATTGTTATCAAATCTTTATTGTTTAAAATCATTAATTGTCATATATATATTTTAATTACATTGGGTAATTCCGTAGGTTTTATTTTTTGAAACTCTCTTTTTCTGATAGAATCATAATAGTTTATCAATTAGACACCAATCGTTGAGAAAAAGACAAAATTTAGAGAGGAAAGAGCCTACGATCCTTGGTTTATATATTCAAACTAGGCATTTAAATTTAAAAGTCAATTTTTGTTAATTTTTAGATTTTATGATTTGCTTACAATATTTAATTTTATATTTAAATTTAGTTATCCGTAAAGTTTAGATAAAATAAATATTTTTATATTTTACCTTAACTTTCCATATATATTAAATTTAAAATTAAATATTGTAAGCAAATGATTTTTTCTTTAAAAATAGATTTAATAATATATATGTATATATAACTATAAATTGAAAGATTTTTTATGTATTTATTTTGGTTAAAATGTATTAAATTAAATTCTATAATATTAAGTGAAAATGTTATTCGGTGTATAATTTTCAAAATGTAAAATTAATAATATTTATAAAACTTGAAGATATTAAAAAGAAACTAATGATACTGAAATTAGAAAATTACATTTTTTTAGAAAAAAGTTGCATAAAATTTTATAAATTTATAAGAGTATAATTAAATAATATTTCTAAAATTGTATATATTATTTAATGTATATTTATACTTTTATATGATTTATTTTTATATTAATGATGATCTATAAGTTATTACCATATTTTAAAAAGATTATCTAGATTTTAAATCAATCTTAAATATAAAAATCTATGTCACAGTTAACTTCAGTTCATGTCATCATTGTTAGTATGACTTGTCATTAGTTTTTGTTTTTTTTTCCAAAATCATATAGTGATGATACTCACTTTCTCAATTATTGTCTATAGCATCTATAAATAATTTGATCAACGATCAATATTTTTTAGTTTTGATGGTTTGTTAATATTACTAAATAATATTGATTAAACAAAAAGTATAATAAAAATAGAATATATGTATATGGGTAAATCCCAAAAATAGAACTTATATTTGCAACATTAGACTTTGAGCACTAGATACATAATGACACGTGAGGGGATAAGATCGTCGTTATAGCTCAACTAGCCACTGAATCAGCTTCACGTTCACCAGTCCCCTGGATTTAGTCGCCTGCACGATCTTTCATTGTCTTCTCCCTTTGGTGGAATAAATTAATTATTGCATGTACTTGGCATCGTTGTTTCGTCAGTTTGAGAGATATTTTCTTAAAGAACCAGAGATAGCGATATGATACATAAGAAACTCTTATATAGTGTAAAAAGGTGCGGGAAAACACCCAAAAGTTATGAAAAAACAACTTGGTTTCTTTCAAGCTCAATTTCTTAGGGCCAATTCAAATATTATTAAAACAAGGACCAATTCAAATTTCGAATTAATATATTTATACGCCAGCAAAAGTGCAAAGGAATAAACAATTGTAGCGCATTTGCACCTCTACCACATCGTGCAAGTTACTTATGATGAATACAAATGTTAAACATAAGTTTTTGCACTGGATGCCAACATAGTTATAAAGTGCATATCAGGATAGTTATAAAAATGCGAATGTTTGATATAAGTTCACAATTTTGTGATTATATCATATTAATACGGTTCTCTAATCTAATCATGGAGTAATTAGATCATTGTGTTTCTAACTTTAAAGTGACCAAGATAATGATTATGATCTTGCATTAAACTATCCCGATGATAATACACTTCATCTACGTGCAAAATGACTTGGAGAATACGTCAATAGCGTATAATTATCGAGATGTCGGTATCGATCACACACAACATTATGTATTGTATGACAAGTATTTCCAAATTTCCAAATTTAAGCAAAAAAAAAAAAAAAAAAAAAGCATTTCCAAATTTAGAAAAAAAAACTAAAATTAGTCTTTTGTCGATAAGGGCAATTATGGTAACTCAGCTAACTGAGATGTTTGACCCAGCCAGCCACGTCAAAGCGCTAATCGTTAGTGCCCACGTCATCATCCTCTGTTTCCTTAGCCCGGTTCTCTCATCGTACGTCCCTCATTTCCCCCAAACATTATTTCAACGGCTACGATCTTCCGTTCTAGACGCTTCGAATTATTACTTAGCTGAAAACCTTGAGAAAACAAAAGAAAATTCACAGAGGACCTTTTAAAGCGAATTAACCATGGTTAGTTTTTAACCCTTGGGTTAAGCGGTGTAAGACAGGTTAAAATGTCTGAGTAAAGGATAGGAACAAGACGAGAAAGAACAGCGAGAGAAAGAGAGAGAGAGAAAGACCTTCCCGAGTCGACTCGGAACGAGTTGTTTTTTTTCTTATCTGTATTCGTTTTGGAGCTCATTTCTCTCAAGCTCACTCATTACTCGGATATCTGTTTCTCTCTCCTCGCCGGCGCGTCATTTGTCGTTTATCGTCGAGTCTTGGTAAGATTCTTCTCTTGTTGTGATTTGATTTCAATTAGGTTTTGCCATTTCAAGTTCGATCCTTTTTTCCTCTTTTGATTCATAAAGCTTAACTCTTTTTTTTTTCACAAGAGCAATCATGCATGATTAATATCATTAAATCTCGTATATTAGATTGTTTTTTTGTGTACACACGTTTTCGATGACATTCACTTTATAGATGGTTGATTTTTATACGGTTTCTCTTGTAAGATGATGACACATCAACATGTGTTTCCCTTACTTTTTGATGAGTTTGCTAGTTTTAGATGATTCTCTCTATTTGATCAAAAAAAGAAGAAGATGATTCTCTATTAGATATTGCATAAAGTTTTGATTTTTGTGTGTGTTTTTTTACTAACGCTTGATTCATTATGTTTATTTGCAGATTATTGTTACTTTCCTGTTATCTGGACTTTAACTATGGAAGCGCGTCTTGTTTAGTTAAAGGATTTGGTTTGGTTGATTATTAGTCTTAGGAGGAAGAAGAAAATATCTTTCTTTTGAAGCCATCTAAGGCTGTGATATCTCCGCCTTGATTCTCCACATTCATGTCACGTAAGCTTGACAGTCCTATTCAGACACAAATGGCTGTTTCGCTTCTAAAGAGTCCCCTGACCGGGGAGTTCCATGAGTTTAACAAGATGGGGATGAAGCCGACACCTGTGGGTCGTAGGCGTGTTTTTGTTCAGACAGAGTCTGGTTGTGTACTGGGGATGGAGTTGGATCGTAGTGATAACGCACACACTGTGAAAAGGAAGTTGCAGGTTGCTCTTAACTTCCCTACAGAGGAAAGCTCTTTGACTTTTGGGGATTTGGTGCTTAATAATGATCTCACATCAGTTAGGAATGATTCTCCTCTGCTACTAACTCGGAACAACTTTCATAGGAGTTCATCTACTCCATGTCTTTCTCCAATGAGAGCTGATCATCAGCAGTGTAGAGATGAGACTAGTTCTATTGAGATTCTTGGGAACTCTGTTTGTTCTTCCTTTGTGAGGCAAATGGCGAAGGATATTACAAAGGCGTTGAAGAGAGGGATTGATCCTGTTGCTGTCAATAGTGGGCTTGGAGGAGTCTACTTCTTCAAGAACAGCCGTGGTGATAGTGTTGCAATTGTTAAACCAACTGATGAGGAGCCTTTTGCTCCTAATAATCCGAAAGGTTTTGTTGGTAAGGCGCTTGGACAGCCTGGGTTGAAACGTTCTGTGCGTGTTGGGGAAACAGGTTACAGAGAAGTCGCCGCTTATCTCCTTGACAAGGATGGTTTTGCAAAAGTTCCTCCCACTGCTCTTGTGAAGATATCTCATTGGATATTTAATGTTAATAATGGAGTGAATGCGAGTAAGCGTATGGAGAAGATGTTGGTGAGTAAGATTGCTTCTTTGCAGCAGTTTATACCTCATGATTATGATGCTAGCGAGCATGGAACGTCCAGCTTCCCTGTTTCGGCTGTGCACCGTATAGGGATTCTTGACATCAGAATCTTGAATACGGATAGGCACTCAGGGAACCTTCTGGTTAGGAAGCTGGATGGTGTGGGGATGTTTGGTCAAGTGGAGCTGGTTCCTATCGATCATGGTCTTTGCTTGCCGGAGACTCTTGAGGATCCTTACTTTGAGTGGATTCATTGGCCACAGGCATCGATCCCGTTCTCAGAGGACGAGCTGAAGTACATTGCAAGTCTTAATCCTTTTGAGGATTGTGAGATGCTGAGAAGGGAGCTTCCAATGGTAAGAGAGGCGAGTCTTCGTGTGTTAGTTCTCTGCACGATTGTACTGAAGGAAGCTGCTGCTTATGGTTTATGTCTGGCTGAAATTGGTGAGATGATGACTAGAGAGGTTCGTGGTGGAGACGAGGAGCCTAGTGAGATTGAAGTTGTTTGTCTTGAGGCTATGAGTTTGATAGGAGAGAAGGAAATTGAGTCTCCAAGATCAGACTTGGGTGGTGATGTTGAATTCCAGTTCGATTTAGATTGTGAGGAAGTTGGATTCACTCTTGGAAACACTCGTAGTCATCTCTCAAAGGTGGAAGAAACAACAGAGGAAGAAGATGAAGAAGAAGAAGAGAAGGAAATGAATGAGATAGTTATTCCTGAGAAAACGCCGGCTATTACCAAGCTTTCAATGTCTTTGAAAAGCACACTTCTTGGTGAAAAGAGCCAGAAGTATCAGAAACATCCAGGAGCGAGAGCAGAGAGCGCATATGCGTCGTCTGGTGGGCACAGGAGTGCAGAGGAACAGATTCCAGCAAGCACAAGCTTTGTGAAGCTCTCAGATATGAGTGAAGAGGAGTGGAAGATTTTCCTGGACAAGTATCAAGAGCTGCTTTATCCGGCGTTTGCAAAGCGCAAGGCTATAACTTTAGGACAGAATCTGAGGCAGAGGCTGGGAACTTCGTGCCAGTTTTGAGATGTCAGAGACTGAAGAAGAAGAATAATAATAAAGGATTGTGTTACTTCTAGAGGGGCTTGGCTTATAGACAAAACTGGTGGAAAAAGATGGTCAAGTAAGAGAAGAGTTGTATGGATTTTAGTGTAAATATTCGTTGATTTCAGGTTGTTTAGTGTGGAGGAGACTCGAGAGATGAGAGAATTTAGGGACGTGTGTCTTTTGTTCATTCTTTTAAAATCTTCTTAAACCCTCAGGATCTCGTTGGTTTCTACTGTCTCGTTTGAAACATGTAGACCCTTTTTATGTTTTATAAATCACTTTGTAGATTAAAAGAAAAAATGGATGAAAAAGAAAAGCTTCGTTTATTTCATGTAAACAGTGAAGCTAAATCTTCGACGAGGCTCATGTTCCTTTCATTGCATTTGTTTACTCAATCTCTAAACGTCAAGATTTCTTCTTTTCAAGCCTCATGTTTTCCGTTATGTTAGTTAACAAGCGTAGCACATCTAGCTTCCTGTTCCGACCGTTGATCAAACTGAGATTCTTGTCATTAGGAAGTTGTAAAGAATTGGTTGCCAAGTGGAACTAGGTTAAGCATACATAGAGGTGTGACGATTTTGGTCTTGGTTCTAACCTTTATCTCAAATCTCGTGGAAATAATGAAAGCCCACATAGAAAGATGTTAATGAAAGGATAGGATCCAAAGCCCACAAAATCTTATGGGCCGAGTGTCCATTTTAGAGTGTTGATTGAAAAACCCGATCCGGTTCTTAACTTGTTAACCTACCCGGTTGCGGTTGTTGTTGTCTTCTTATAAAATGCACACAGCCGTGACTATAGATAGCATCAACAAAAATCATTCTCAAAGTTTGCTGAATTTTCAAAGTATCTTTTTAGATCATTGGGGTCGTTGCTATTATGTACTTAGGTTTAGAATCGTATAGCAAAGTTTGTTGCTTTATTGTTTTTTCCCCCACAAAGTTTTTGATTTTTTATTTGTAGTTGCAGTAGTATGAGCACCCGTTATCCCCTTGCATCGAGTATATATGGGCACTTACGTTTCTTTGTTTTAAACTCTGGTGATGGTTCAATAGCTTTCAACTTTCCCAGAAAATGTGTATTGGTTTATTTGTATTAAGAGCTTTTGCTGATGGTTTTAATTCATTTGCGTGTGGTTTAGTTTTATTGGTTTGTTTGCTTGTAACGGGGGAAGCAGAGCATGATGATGAGAATATAAATAGCCTCTGAATTCAAATTCATGTGGATCATATTATTATACCTTCAAAGTTCTCTGAATTGCTCTGCTTTCTCTTCTATGTTCTCTGATTTGGAATTCCTTGAGATCTTAAAACTACTTTTTGTTACTGAAAAGTATTCTACTTGTATTGGCAGCACCTAAGAAAATCATAGTCTGTTTATAGCTGATTTAATGCTTCAGACTACACGAGCATGGTGCTATATGAACTTTTTTCAACTAGTTATTGTTGTTCATATTAAGCATTTCGCTTTGATATATGGCTTTTAACTTTTGGAGAACATTTTGTGTGTGTGTGGACATAAAAATGGTTTTTTTGAATCCGTAAGCCTCTGAGAAACATAAATGACCACATTAAATTTCTCCAAAAAAGAGATGTAAGAGTAATGGGCAAAACCAAAACTGCTCGAGTCTGAGATTTTATTCTCTGAGCCTAAAGACAACATTCTCGTCCTGATTGAAAAGTATAATCAGGGATTGATTAGGTAGTGTAGATCGTCTCATTCTATTAGTGTCTTTTGAGGTTGAATCCTTGTTACCCAATTTTATCGTAAATGAAACATTAAGTAATTCAAAAATACCCTATATATTAATTGAGAAACATTTGAAAAGATGTAACCTCAAGTTTGTATTAATTAAAAAGTAACCTTGCTTAGTTGTCAATCAATTAGCATATCAATTAAACTGACGTTGCGGCTTTAGGTTCAATTGAAATTTGCTAGGGAAAAATAATTAGAGACGCATATAACGCATGTAACATAGTTTATATATTTATATATATCGCACACATGTAATGGAAGAAAAGGAAAATATACGATTTGATAACGATTTGCATATATTAACTATAATAACTTCATTCCTTTTAATTTATGGAAGTGTATATGTAAAATG